GTTGCCTTTTGCAGGAGTCTAATAATTATGATGAATCACAGTGGGAGGATAATAAAAATGATATGCTCCAGATTGCCGCATCTTGAATGCCTTTTAATGTGGCAACCACTTGAACCGTAAGAAAACATCACAATTCGGTGCGTTTAATCACCGGAAATTTTTTATATTTACAACTTATTATTCGTTATTTTTACAGTTACAATGCTCAAGCTGAACAAACTTTTGGTTTCCTTCGATGTGTCATCGTCTTAGAAAATCCGTTACATCAACTAGAATTGCAAATAAAACGAATTCATGAACAACGTACAGGATGATTATGAAGGGAATTTTTCGTCATCATTACATTGGATTATAGTGTTCTACTTGAAAATTTGTCGATTTTTCTTCTGTTTGAGTTCAAGTGTTTGGGGACGTTTATATATAGTCAAGGGAGGTACTGAGGTGAATCTCTAGGGGGATAATGATTAAATGTTTTCAAAACCATAGGTACCTTTTATTGATATTTATTTTTCAGTTTATTTATTTTTAACTACTTTATAAATTTGATTATTTTGTAAATTTTATTGTTGATTTTATATTCACCATTTTTTATATGAATAAGATTTAAAAAATGTATCTTACGTGATGGGGTTTGGGGGGTAATTGTTCCTTCTACCCCCTCGTAGAACCGCCGAGTTTGTACGAAGTAATGGCTTAGGATAAACGATTTTGAAGCAAAGAATTGTTGTTTGACCTTGCGAGTTTTTCATTGATCACAAAATTCCAACAATAGTTTACAATTTAAGCTCCCTTTGAAGTTTCTCAATTATAATGTTTTTTTATAGAATATTTCTAATACCAATTATCAGATATATTTTATTCACTTTGATGAATGAGAAAACTTATATATTCTTACAATTAAACACTGAACTGACGATGCAGCCAGATCAATGCTGTCAATGACGATAATGCTGAAATTAGAGCCTGGGGAACCAACATCCTAGGTGAATTCAACGCCAACAAAACTCAAGCCTCTATTTTCTCTAAAAAAGCCGGAACTCAGCATGCCTGATATAAACAAGGTCTGTTACCACTCTTTCCACCAAGACCACAACATCGATGGTCAGTATTTCCATCAGCAATAATCTTTCATAGGAAAATCATGTCTGATGCATCACGAAAGCTGCCTCGCACAAACTCGAATTATTCCGTGAGGAAATCTACTTTACACCTTCCGTGAGAAAATCTACTTTACACCTCAGCAGCTCCTCATTATCTACAAAGGACAGATACATCCAGTTTCAGAACATACTGTTCACACATATGGGGTTCAGCACCCAAACAAACGCTGATGCTCTTAGATTCCATCCAGCAGAGAAGAGTCATTCGCCACACTCACAAATACTTTGACTTCATCAGAACGCCTTAGAAAAATCGGAGACGTTTCACTTTTCTATAGATACTTCCCCCACGGAAAATGTTCCTCAGAAATATCTGCTATCATTTCATCACTAGCAATACTTCTCAGCTTTTTTTATGTTCTGGTTCCCACGAAAAGGGATATCCTGTAATGTTCAGAGAACATCGTGAGAACCAAGGGAATTAAGGTAGGAATTGGTGTTCTTCTCAAATTTCTGGAGGTTATAGGCCCTGGGGAACACCTCCCTTGGCAATGTGTTCCAGAGCCTTGCTGTTCGTTGGATGAACGGGTCTTTGGAAAGAGATGTTCTGCAGGTCTCCAAAGTAATCACGAAGGGGTGCGAAGCCTCAACTCGACGAGTTAATCTCACGGGGACTGCCAAGGGAGGAACAATTGTTGATATTTCAGAAGAGCATCGTCCATGAAAATATATATAAAATAGAGTCAGATCGCCAACTTTTCTAAGGTGTTCCTTGCCATTGGAAGTATTCCCAAGAACATATAACCTACAAAAAGTTTCAAAACAACCTACCTAACCTACTCTCCCTATCCTCCCTATAGGTACGCACGATGTTCCTCGAACTTTATAGGAATTTCCTCTCGTGCGCTTCAAGAGAGAAAACTCTAATTTATTTTTATGATTTTCTTGCACCATAGATCAACGACTGTCGTTAATCTATGCTTGCACATTTTAATTTCAAATATATACAGGGCTCGTCCGACTCATAATTCATCTTCAGAGTGTCGAAATAACACTGGATTGGTATCAGAGAAACCTTCCCAAAACTGAGATGATCTACATGGTGTTGTAATCATAGTTCGAGCCACCCTGTACGTAGAACACTCACATTAGATCTAATCATTTAATCCTTCATAGAACGATTTTTGCATCAATATATCCTCTCAATTAATAACTGATATTGAACTACTGATTGAGCAGAATTTTTTGCGTTCGTTAATAATGCACTTATTACCCTGGTATACCGTTAAATTTACGATAAAATAGATAAGACGCGTCACTGTCAATGTTTCACGGTCGAGTTGATCATTAGTAACGAATCATAAGGCAGGACATAATCAGTAATCACCTCTTGGAGCTTGTAGCAATGAAAACTGCAGTCATTGCATTCTCGAAGTGAATGTGCACTTCGAAAAATCACTAGAAATATAGTACACTACACTGTTTTACCACTAACCAAACCGATTTATTTTTTTCAAACGCCTCGACAAGTGTTTCGCTCACTATGTTAGCATCTTCAGGAGAAGATTAAAACAGTTTTTAAAAAAATGTTCGGTTAGTGGTAAAACAATGTAGTGTATTATCGTGGCAAAGGTTCCAGTCTTAGATATAGAAATAGTTATTATACAGCAAGGTAGTTAAGAAAGCCATGTTCACCAAGGGACCAAGATTATATCCCGACGCTCCAGTCGAGGGGTACGTAGTAGGTCCCGTGGTAATATCATTATTTACTACCAAGGAGTATATGATATTTTTCCACCACTATAGCAATATAAAAAATTTGGATTTAGACCGTCACTTCGGGAAGAATGGGTTGTGGATCCGGATTCTTCAGACAAATCAAACACATTGATAACTCGACATGTGATTGTTTCTGAATACATTGGTTACAGTCTTTCTGTACATCTGTTCCATTGTTTCTTCACTACTAATGACAAAAATGCAAAATTTTTGAGTGAAACAAAGTCACTTTTGATCCGAATGAAACATGCTATTTTTTCTGCAACCGAAACAATTAACTCGAATCGTAGTTTCAATATGAATACAACCACAGAGTGACATATTTGTGTATGGACCAGATGCTCTAATGGCAAATACCGCGCCAGTGCCAGGTATAGGAACAAGACGTGGAAAATGTTAGGTTAGTGAGCATATGAATAATAATAATAATAGCGATTATTTATTTCTCTTCAAACTCAACTGTGTTAGGCTTGAAAATCAAATGAAGGTAAACAATATCGTTCTTTGAGACAAAAAACGATTGCTGGCCGTGATTATTGAAAAACAATATATCCATCCCGGAAAATATCGAATGAAATACATATCAAGCAAGTATGTGAATTTTGAAGGCTTTCCTGATCAAAACAAAAATACTCAACTAAACTAAGTATACCCTTGATTATATACACTAGTGTGAATACTCAAAGACTATATTAAGGTGTATTTATATCTCCAGCATGGGTATGAAATGCCAAATCTGTCGAAATCGGAAACAAATCAGGTTTGCGTCCCAATCCAAATAACCAACCATAACAATATTGTTTATTCTTGATGACCTCTTCTAGTACATCCTTTTCACTAAAGGTCAACTTTAGCTCCTAGGAACTAAATGTATTGCCTAGCAACATACCTACTTTTGTGTCAGTAATAGAAACCTCAATTCAAGAGCTAATTTTGGTATCAAAATGGACGACATTTTGTCGGTTGCGGAAAATGATTTCACGTTTTATGACTGAATACCATGTTTAATCTTTGTCAAATATACAGGACTTTTGGACGTTTGGACGTTATCTTCTTATCCTATGATTTTTCCTTTTGTTTATATTGTTCTGAGATATTGTTCTTATGTCATTGTACTTCCGTTCTTACCGATACCTACTACAGAGTTATGTATAAAAAGAAATATGTTCATTCCGCTACTTTATACAATAGTAGATTGTTTTATTAGGATCAAAAGTGACACTTTGTTTGACAAGCGAATTTTGCATTTGCGAGGCGGAGAGTTTAGCGAAGCCGAGCGAAAGCAATATTTGCGAGTCGAACAAAGTCACTTTTGATCCGAATGAAACATGCTATTTTTTCTGCAACCGAAACAATTAACTCAAATAAACATGTGAAGTAACCACCAATGCCGTGCCATATGTATGCAATGCAACAAATATTGACAAATAATCCATGTGGTGAGAATATTTTACCTGCATTAACAGCAGGTTAGGTTTTCTAGGATGTTCGAATTGTAGTTTCAATATGAATACAACCACAGAGTGACATATTTGTGTATGGACCAGATGCTCTAATGGCAAATGCCGCGCCAGTGCCAGCTACAGGAAAAAGACGTGGAAAATGTTAGGTTAGTGAGCATATCAAAGGAACTAAAATTCAATTTTAGCTCCTAGGAACAAAATATGTTGCCTAGCAGCATACCTATTTTTGTGTCAGTAATAGAAACGTCAATTTGAGAGCTAATTTTGGTATCAAAATGGACAACTTTTGTGTCGGTTGCAGAAAAAAGCAATTATTTAGAGTTGTCAGATGGAAATGCCATCATGAGCATGATTCACTGCATCTTTTGCCTACTCATTATCTACCCATATCCAACGAGACTACATAACAATTGTTTCAGTGTAACATAAGAACATTACTTTCAAATTGTTTCTTGATGTTGGAGGAGTGTTGTGTAGCACTCAAAACAAATGTCAGACTCAGGCAGGTTGAATGATCACGAATCAGGCGATCGTGTTTGGTTTATCGTAATCAATAATTATTGTGTTTTTCTTTCGTTGTATGGTGCAGGTATATACGCGTGTTGTATCACTATACTTTCATTTTTATGCTAAGCGTTTCGATGATATTTCAACTTACAGGTTGGTTGGATCCACTCTGATGGATCCAAGGTGATGGGCGTGTGACGTCACTTTTCGATCTGCAACACAAAAAATATCACCATTGTTTGTTGACCAATTCATACAATTGTTTCTTAGAAACACAGTTCCAAATATTTGGACTCTTATGGTGTATACAGGGTGGGTCAATTCTAAAATCTGTCCGAGCATTCTGGAGGTGATAGTACATTGAAGAATAGGTATAAAGTTGATGAAACTGAAATTTCCTGCACAACTTCTAAACAATAAAGGCCACCAGATTTAAATTTCCTGCATAAATGTATGTTGATGAAAATACATTTTTCTGATATAGTTCTACCTTTCTGATTTTGTTATATTTTTATTTTTGGTGAGAGAATTGAGGCATTTGTAAAAGCGGAAGAAAATATAAATAAAAACGGTACTCCTACCAAAAATTGTAACCTTCGAGGTAACTATTTGAGTTTTTGTAATGACATGATATCAGCAGATAAATTCATCAATTATAATATTTCCAGACGTCTCGAGCTTCTTGACCGGACACCATCTATATAATTTTCGTTTTAAAATATATTCTTTTTTACGCAATCTTTGCACACTCCTCAAAATAGTTCTATAGAATCTGAAACGCGTCGAGCTGGAAACATCTAGGCATGACGAATAACGTGCAATTTCTTAAAATCACAAAATACAAGAACTCAAATTTCTTACAAACAATCATAATTTATGTATTCTGATAAGGGTACAGTTTTTATGTAATTATTTAAGCTTTATCAAATGCTTCCATTTTTCACCAAAAAGAATTCTAGGAAAAAAGTTGACTTCAATATAGTATGACCCACCCTCTAAAAACACCCTTTATAACAATATCAGAAAAAGAGGAGTGTATCAGGAAAATGTATTTCATCATTAAACATTTATGCAGAACATTTCATTCTGGTTACTTGTACCCTATATTATTTTGAAGGGAAAAAAATAAGAAATATAATGAGCTTATAAAATACAGGGTATTCCATTTACAAAAACATGAGTTCAAGTCGGATTTGCAAAACCGTGCACCGAAAAAAAAATTGGGTGCGCCACTGGATTCTGCGTAAAATTCTCAATGGGATAAGATTTTGATTTGACATTTTCGTAGAAATAGAGGGGTTCAAAAAGTATAAATTTTCAAAATCGCTCTGTATCTCATAAACGGAAACGGTTATGCAAAATCTGATTATGCCATCTTGAGTTTCACAGAAAATTGGCAGAGAACTGCGACAACCGCAAGGTTCGATCTCCAAAGATAACTGAGATATCACGCAATAGCATCGAAAACTGGACACACTGTACATACAAGCTCTCTACATAATTCGTTGTGCTTATAGTGTTGTAGGTAGGTATGATATACCGTTCATGCAACAGAAAAGTTACAATTTTAGTGTTCAGTGAATACTTTAACAACTTCATTCGAGCCCCATGAGTTGATAAAAATACATTTGGAGAGGAAGTAGCAAAGTAGTATAGAATAAGCATTCTAAGAATGGATTATGTGATGTTTTAAGTGGAGAATAATTAATATCTTTTGCAATGTTTACGATTACTTGAGAAGTGTTCAAAAGGGTGGCTAAATTATTAAAGTTGTTATTGACAACTTTTTTTTTAACCACCCCAGATTTTCCACTATTGATATTTGGTATTCTATAAAACAACATTCATCAATGTGATTAGTTTTGTACATTTCCACTCAGTGGTATGAATTAAGCTCTGAAGTTATAATCATTCATCTACTATTTCATTGATCATTGCTATTCGCGAGATTCACGAAGTGGGCGACATCTAGGTTATATAATACGAACTTCAAACTGGGGGAAAACAAACTGTTGTGTATGGAAAAAGTGCATAGACTACATTGCATTCAGCTTGCTGGAGCTGTAGTCACACTTGTCAATGACATAAAGTGTTGGCACTGTTGGTAGTGATGATGGTTGAGTTGGTTGATTTTTTTACATTATTACATTTTCATTAGCTTAGTGAACAGTGAACGGGTGAAAAATTGGAGATAGTTCAAACAATTCAAACTAATTATGACGAGCAAATCAATTGACATATAAAATAACAGCTACAACATGTTTACAATACCCAGATTGTCCTGCTATGCATGAACAACTACAAATACATTGTTCTACAGGAGTTCCTCTGGACCCCAACTTCAATTTTACTTCATGTGGGAAAGATTTCATCGTCGAAGTTTGTAGACAAAGTGCAAAAATTTGCCTTTTGTTGAAGTCTTCTGCCTCACACAAAATCACAAGATTAGCACGAAGAACTGCTTCTCCATCCACTACTGGTCGGCTTTTTTCGTCTAAATAGAGCAAAATATCTGCCAAAAGAACATCTACAACGGTCGATCGAATATTGACAATTAATGTCAAGAAATTTGAGAACTTATCACTCTTATCAGTATACAGTACACAAGCTAATGGCACTAAGGGGATTGAGTGAGGATTGAGTTTGTTTTCCCCCAGTTTTGACATGGCTTTGACATGGAACGATGAAAACCGAGCGCCACCTGGTAACATTGATTCCCGCGAATATTTCTGCGTTTTTAACATCTTTTTAACCTATGGCCTATGGCTCATGATGCAAACTTCATTCTCGTAGGAAATCACTATCATTCCGTGCTCGTTAAACAATATACTATTGTTTTTGTAATCCTTTTCCCTCATTGAAGTAATACCTCTGAACACCTTCCCCTTCCATTTGTTCTTGTTTCATTGTTATATTAAATTTGACAGCTATCCTGTTCTCAAGTATTTATGTATTAAGTAATGGTTTTTTCGTCTAAAGAACACAAATTGAATACATTTGCTTGAACAACCAATGATGATATCCTGTATAAAAGGTACAATTTCATAATGATCTGAGTCACTTGAAGCTTTTATTTATATATGATTCGGTTATAATGATAGACATTATATAGACAAATCGAGAGACACTACCCTGGGATAACGAATACCAACATATGGTTTTCTTGTAAATACGATTATAATTTGTACGTTCACACAAGTCTAACTGCATAAGAAATTGTTATTATGCGACTATAACTCCGTCCTGACTATTTTCGAGCAAAATTAACCATTCTTTTCCTAACGTCAAAATAATGTTTTCATCTGAAAACTGTGAGAAAATCTACCACATATTTGGTTGGTTTTCTGGAACAAATAGGAAATCGATCAGTATAAAATCGTTGTTTCAATAATAATTTCCTCCAGTACCTCACCCTGAATTTCCGTTTCTATATGTCCCATAAAGACCATACACGCTAAACTTTGGGATATTGAATAGATCAAAGATTACCTACCCCCTGATGTGCTATAAAAAAATCGCCTTTCTCCTCTGTCCATTAAAATATTTTGAATGTTCATTTTTACCTCCACACAAAAAAAATACTTCCAATATTTTAGTAGGTACAGTGGCGGATCACCGCATAGGCGCAGTAAAGAAGTGGGCCCAAACAGCGTATCACTAGTCACTACATTGAGGAACTGGAACCATCAAAAATGCTCCCATTATTAAAATTCACAGAATTATTTATGATGGACTCTTCATGGAAATTTTCTCTGACTCTAATATATCCGAGTTCAGAATATAGCAAAGATATCGACATCATTCAGTTCAAACATGAAGAGCTTCAGTTCGTTGAATTTCAGAAAGAAGTGGGTATATCAGATCCAGCAGACATTTATAAACTTTCAAGATCAAACTTAGGGGAAGTTTTGCTCCTTATCCCTATTTTCGCTTCATATGAATACGAAATGTTGAGAATTCCGGCATCAAAAGCTTATGGGTACAGGGTTATCATAAAAAAGCATCAAATATTACATGGGACTGCTTTGAAACACTCATGCAACTGGAAAAGGGCAACAAAGTCACACTTATGTGGGTTCCAGGGCATGAAAAAAGCAAAGGAAATGAGGCAGCTGATCGCCTTGCAAAAAAAGGTGCAGCATCTGCACTTTTTGGTCCTGAGCCTTTTTGTGATATAAGCAAATATCACCTAAAGGGAGAACTCGAGAAATGGGAAGAAATTGAAAAGTCCTCCTACTGGAGAGCAACTCCAGGTCAACGACAAGCGAAAAGGTTCATCAACCATTCGCAGAACCGAGCCAAAGAGCTACTCAGCCTCAGAAAACCAGAGCTAAAGCTTATCACAGGCTTTCTCGCATGACATGGCCCTCTGAGGTACCACCTCAAAGAGATGGGTCTGGCGGAGACTGACACTTGCCGCTTTTGTAACAATGCGACCGAAACCGTGGAACACATACTTTGCTCATGTGAAGTATTAGTCCGCCAAAGGCTAAACCACCTAGAACAGGTCTATCTCACCCCTGCTGAAGTGGAAAAGTCAACCGTCAGGAAAATCGTAGGCTTCATCAGAAGTCTAGGCGGTTAGAGGACCAAAACTAGATAGGGGTAATCACAATAGATCTTCTAGGTCGCAGTGATCGAGAGGTCTCTCAGCCTATACGACCCATCTACAATCTACAATCTAAAATCTATCATAAAAAAGGCTATAAATATCTCCAACATAGTTTTTACTATTGAGACGAAGTTTTTCGTAGTTTTTCTCTCTAAAAGTCGGTCAATTCCTTCAATTATTCCAATGCCCATTATTGGCATTCCATGATATCGCGTAGGTTAGCAAACAGTTAGGCCAGGTAATCGCCTCTCTTGAATTGTTATCCAATTCCGTACTTGCGGCGAATAATAATATCAATCCACCATTGCGCGGTGCTTATTCTAGCGAAAAATGTCGAATGGTAATCGAAAAAGACGTTCATGAGCCGACGAGTTCTCCATTTGCGCCTTCCTTTGCGCCGAATAGTTCCCGGCTATCTGTAAATATTCAATGACAGTAAATGTTATTGGTTCCTATAAATGCGAGGAATATAGCAATTTGTTGGAAATATTTATTGTTGAGGTGTTATCGAGATACGTATCTAGGCTCAAAACACCCGCTGGGTATACCTATCTTACTCCACCTCGTCACCTATGTCAGCGTCAGAAGCATCGAGGAACA